AAAAAAAAAAAAAAAAAAAAAGAACTTTATTTTCATCAAAATATATATTCTTTATTAACCTAATAAGTAACAAGTAATAATATAATAATAATAATTAAAAAAAAAATGCGCGAGCATTTTTCACGGAGATTTGTTACATTTATCCCTGCCTAAAAACAGCCAATCTAATATTAATAATAAAACACGATCAATCATCACCGATATCGACACAAGTAGTAATTTCACACTTTGTTCGAATAAATTCGGTCTAATACAAAAATAGTCGGTCATATATGTATAATAAATATATATTTTTTGATATGTACAATATTTATATTTATAAAAAAATGTATATACATTTTATTTATTTTATTGTGTTCCAAAAAAAAATAAAATAATGAATTAAATGAATATATACTTGATTTTGTTTTACAATTTTTTCCTTTTTTCTTCTTTTTTTTTTCTTTTAAAGAAAATGTTAAACGCGGATCGTACGCCCAGCGTGAATAAATTTACTGCGCGAAAAACCACAATTTTTTTTTTTTGTAGATCCTTTGTTCATTATTGTAAATCATTCATATGTGTAACTTAACACTACACTAAACACGCACGAAATATGAAATACACGATTACCAAAAAAAAATTTGCAAAAAATTTTTTTTTTCTATTCGGCAATAACTTAACTTGGAAAGTTGGCTAAAAAGTGAAAGTAGGGGTGTGGATTATGTGGTAAGCAAGTAACTCCACGCATAATAAATTATTGGATAGGATTTTATTGAACTAAAAAATGGGGAGATACACGTTCCAATATGTAATAAAATTGGGAAATAAAGAATTGGGGAATAAAAAAGATTCATTGGAAGCCTATAAAGTCAATCTCAATAGCCTTATTTCTTAATATAGCCTTTCTTCACATGCCGCAGTTTATCAATTGCGTCATCGATAGATTATCACGAGATTTATGATGTATTCGATCATCTTTACCAAATTTTATGAATTGTGAAACAGAGCGGCCCAGAAGAATGGCTTAGAAGGCCTAAATCATAATCAGATTACATAAAAATAAAATATAAAAAAATATGTTAATATGTATCTCACGCGAAAAGGGATCGTACGCGTTTCGTACCCGATTAATGATACAAATCATTTCACGTGATACACAATTTTCAAGTTTTTTCAGTTCGGTTTACTTGTTATGGTTGATCAATTTTCGCCCATCACATATTTATTTTGGTTGTCAGGTAGATTTGTTTATTAAAATGATGTCAGAAATCCCATCTTGATAATGTGTTACAATAAACAGAACGCAATAAATAAATTACTTTCCAATTGATGTATGTAGTTTATCCGTCAGAAAGATCTAGTCTAGTCTTTGTTTCTCTTTTCTTTTTTTTTTTTTTTTTTGAGCGTAATATCTCCACTTTGGACAAATGAAATCAACTTCATTTATTAATTGAAAGTTGTTCAGGCGGGTTGATTCTACTTGAATATTAATTTTCATGAAT